AGCTAAAAAAAAAAAAAAAAAAAAAAAATCCCAAGCACTAAAATAGTAACTATTAGTAAAGAAAAAAAGCCAGAGACGTTATTAAATAAGTTTGGGGTTGATCAACTACAAACCATGTTCCTATTAGCAAGCCTGCCAATTGCCTAGAACCAACACGTTGAAAAGTTAATCCTTCACCCAGTGTTCTTCCTATCACATCCAGCCACCATTGGCCAAGTGAACTACCCTCGAGTCCGACCTGCATTTAGAAGGAAACATCAAAGAAGTTTAGAAAAAAAGAAATGCAATTAAATGGCATGACATTTTTTAATCAAATAAACAAACGATCGAGATCTTCAAAATTTCAATTTGAATGAAAATGATGTATGTTTAAGTCAACGTGGTAAGTATTCTACTCATTAATTTCTTATATAATGCATAGGACTTACGGTGCAAGTAAATATCATTGCTCAATGTGAAACCAGAGACAAGCCAATACATTTTTTCCCCACCATATTTCAAAGTTGTTATTATATGTATTAGTTTTTTTTTTTTTTAACAAGAAACGAACTTTTCATTGATAGATGAAAAAGAAGATAAAAGTTCTTTTTGAATTTTTGAATTTTTTTGTTTTTTTTTTTGTTTTTTTTTTTTTTAATGAGAAACCAAGATTTCATTTGTTTGAAATGACTTCAAGATTTTGTTCTATTTTCTTGTTCAAAATTATTTTTCACTCTCCTTGGGAGTTTGTGTATCATTTGAATATTTTCCTTTTCACTAAATTAAATGAGAAGTCTTTTTTTTTTTCTGAAGATAAGAATCGAAATAATAGTATTAAACCAAAGGAAATGTTATGGTTTGTACGTTTTAAAATGAAGGAACTTACAGTTTCTTTAGCTGCTGACATGGCTAGAAAACCAGCTCCCATTTCAACTTCCTGCAGCCCAACAATGACAATGCCAACATCTGAGACAACAGAACCCAACCAGGAGATTAGAGATTCACGAGATGCTTTTTCCTGTCCAACATTCCATGTACCAGTGAATATTTTTAAATTTTCCATTCTCGTATACATGAATTCCTTCGAAGCCAACTCCGAGCGTAGTATGCCGTCGAGAGGTCCTGGAGAAGTAACATTCCATCCACGGATACCACCGTGATTTGCCAGGGTGAATATGTAACCAGATCCAACACACATTTCAATCACAGGGCAGCTATGAGCCACCCATCCTCCAAGAAGTCTACCTTTGAGGTCCAATACCTGTACAGTACCACTGGCATAACCCACCCATATTCGTGATCCAAACGTACACAAGCATTGGACAGCGTGAGAATGACGATGGAAATCTTGCAAACGATTTCCATATTTATCCCACTGCACAAGTAATCCACTTGTACATCCAGACCAGATCATACCGTCTACTGTCATCACTAATGCTTCGGTTCTCCGATTATCATCTCCAAAGGCCCCCTTCACAGCAGCTCGACGAACAGCATCAGCTGCTCCCATTATAACACTACGTGACCGCTGAAAGAAACCAAAGGCACTTTGTGTCTTCTCTTTCTTCGAAAAAGAAACAGATTCCAATGTAAAATCTTGAACAGATATCACATCAACTCGGTTCTCCATCTGACCATCAGTATTGAACACTTTCAATAGCTCCCTTGTGCGAGCATCCCTTGAAAAAATGGAAACAATATATAACTAAAATCCTCATAGAAGGTAACGACACTTTAAGGCACCCTCTTAGCTACTTGGAAGCAAGTTACAATCAGCACACGAATAAAACAGGACATTGTCAAAGGTTATCACCCATAAACATGCAGAGACTTGCGCTTAGGATGAAGTTTGTACTGTATTAATGAATGATTGGAGGACACTCCTCGCTCGACCCCTAGCCTTTTCTTCTGTACCTTACCCCTAGAATATATTTCTCCTGGTTTCATATAAATAAACTAAAAAACTATACCAATTGTAAACCAGTTTTTGCATATAACCAAAGAATTTAAGTCTATAAGTTCCTAATCACTACATGTAAGATCCCACGTCAGTTGGAGAGGAGAACGAAGTATTGCTTATGGATGTGGAAACCTCTTCCTAGCAGACGCGTTTTAAAACCGTGAGGCTGACGGCGATACGTAATGGGCCTAAACGGACAATATCTACTAGCGGTGGGTTCGAGCTGTACACTACACCTTCTAAACTTTTTAAGGAAAGGTTCATCAACTAAACAAAATCAGTACACCAAATTCAACTACAAAAGCAGTAAGTAACCTAATGTAACAATCCCATAAGAACTAACATACCAGATTGCAAAAGAGAGATCACTGCCACTCCAAACTTTGGCAGTAGATTCATCAGATAATAAGAACTTAACATCCCAAGTAAATGTGTTGCTGAAGCCTACACTGACTTGAGTCCTAAGATCAATATAAGATCTTTCCACCAACAAAGTAGCCATCTGGCTTTCTCCCAGTGTCATGGAGAGAGCCTTCTCAATAGCTTCCCATGGCCACACCTTCAAAGCCCCACCATCCGAACCTGACCAAAGATCTCCTAAAAGAGAGAAACAAAGGAAAACCAAAACAGTCAACAAGAAAGAAGAAAAACCCACCTCGCTTTGACAATCATATGAGACCATATATACCATAAGATGTCATTATAAGCGAAGAAACAGGGCCACGATGAGCCTGCCATGACATAGCTTCTGTAAAACGATCATTTGAGCTCAAATTATGAACATCCATCCTCCAGCTTCTAATGCGACCATCCTTGTGGCCACTCCAAACTGAACGATTTCCCTCATCAGCAACCAAACAAAGCGTAGGCGACGTCCAAACTGACTCACGAAATGGTGTTGTCTCTTCATCACCACTCCTCGGAGATGTGCCTTCTGCCGCCGCATACAAATCCTTGAAATTCCAAAAACGGACACCAAATTCACTACCAGCCCACAATTGGGACTCGCTGCTAGCAACAGTCCTCAAAAAGCACCCAATCTGCGTCTCTCTCAAAGGATGTGGCCTCACTTCAAGACTAGGCGGACGATCAGGGTGAACAGCAGCTCGCACCGGCAGCTTGAAAATCCCAGTTTCTCCGCCCCGCCCAATGAATTCAGGAAGAGAAGAACGATTCGCGTCACATTGAGCAGCATCACCGTCGTGACTACTAAACGAACCAGATTTAGATGAAAGCTTACGGTCCGGAAATTGCGGCATAGAGTCAACTCGTTTGGCGGTGGACTCAACGGAATTAGAGGAGACACCGCCATTTTCATTATCAAAGGAAGATAAACTGGAGTCTAACAATCTGGGGGAGTGAGTATACGTCGTATCCTCACGAGTCGAGTGATTAAACTCATGATTTAGATGATTAAGGTTTTGAGTATACAAATTAGTAAAATGAGATGAAGAAGCATCACTGTTGCCGCTTCCGTCGCCATCGCCGTCGCCAAGGTCGATAACCGGTGGCGGCTCCATCAAAATCCGGCAAGAAAATTGAAAATCAAACAAACAGAAAGAGATCCAAATGGACAAAAGCGAAATCTAAGCACCAAAGAACGGAAACAAGAAATTTTGGAAGATGAAATGAGGAATTAATTATTCATGAGAAGCAAACTGAATTTTGACTCCCATGACGAAGTGAAATTGTACAACTGTTACTCTTTTGCTTTGACTTCAAATCCTTCAGTTTCTTCTTGAAAAACAACAAATTATTGTCACTTCGATTGGAAAAGTTTCCCCTGATCATGTTCTTCTCAGTTGGTGCCAACAGAGAAAAATCCAAAAGGAAATCCACTTCCTCCAAGTCTCTTTCATGGTATACAAATTATTTTTCATGAAACTTCCTCATTTCTCTTCCTCTCATTGTTCGATGTGGATTTATCTAGGGTGGAACGCGAACGCGAACGCGTGTGAATAAACCTCGGACGTTCAGATAGGTTACACGTTGAACGTATACTATAGAAACGGTAAGGCTAAATAATTTGAATTGTCCTATAATGAAATAGAGTCATTTTGAGGTTCTATATGAAATGAGGCATGGAACAGAGTTACTGCAAAGAAGTTCCGGGAGTTACGAAGGAAATCTCGAGCTCATATTGATCATGGGTTAAGAACGGAATTGAATTCTCTAAAACCTAATTTACTGTGGTTCCTTAGTAGCTCAGTAGTAGAGCGGTTGGCTGTTCAATATATTTTAAGGTTCTCTATGAAAAATGAAGCATGAAACGGAGTTACTGCAAAGAAGTTTTGAGAGTTACGAAGGAAATCTCGAGCTCATATTGACCATAGGTTAAGAACGGGAATTGAATTCTCTAAAACCTAATTTACTGTTGTTTCTTAGTAGCTCAGTAGTAGAGCCGTTGGCTGTTCAATATTTTTAAATTAATTTTTTTTTTATTTATTATTTTTATAAAAGTAAAGAATAATCTTAAATTTTATGTTAAATTTAATATACTCAATATTTTTAAAAGTTTTGAATTTTTTTTTATAAAGGTAATTTTTTTTTTACTAAATTAATAAGTTCCTTAGTAGCTCAGTAGCAGAGCGGTGTTCAATATTTTTAAATTTAATTTTTTTTAATTTTTTTATAAAAATAAAGAATAATCGTAAATTTCGTGTTAAATTTAATATAAAAAGTTTTTGAATTTTTTTTATAAAGGTAAAATTTTTTTATTATTTTTTTTACTAAATTAATAAGTTCTTAGTAGCTCAAGAGCCGTTGGCTGTTCAATATTTTAATTTTTTTTTTTTTTTTTTTATAAAAGTAAAGAATAACCTTAAATTTCGTGTTAAATTTAATATACTCAATATACGCAATATTTATAAAATTTTTGAACTTTTTTACTAAATTAATAAATACACTCAATATTTTTAAATTTTTTGAACAAAGGTAAAAAAAAAATGTTTTTAAAATTTCATAGTTATTTTTAATATAGTACTATCAATAAAGGTAAAAAATGTTAACGTTACGTTTAAATTTCATAGATATTTTTAATATAGTACTAACTATCGATGTATTTTTAAATTTTTTAAAAAGCTGACCGTAAAGATTTAAGGGCGTTTTTTGAAACGAAATATTAACTATATTCACTCCAAAACTAACGGTAAAAGTATTATTTTTAAAATTTTTAAAAATTTACTAGTATTTTTAAATAAATTATAAAAATTTAAAGATATTTTTATTAATTTCACTCTAATAATAATATTAAAAAAAAAAAAAAAAAAAAAAAAAAAAAAAAAAAA